TATATATATACCATCCACCCATATCATTTGAGGGAACTATGATTTCTGACAAAGGGTTGTAAGCTCAATCATCCAGGTAGATCACAAGAAAAAAGGTTAAATCATGTCATCTGGACCAGCTTCTTTAAGTGAGAAATGTTTTGTCGACACCTTCTAGTTTTTATATTGCTTAACAGTATAGTTTCCTCAAGTAACTGGGGTGGCTGAAGATTAATCTGTGGTAGACAAGGCCAACATTGATGGCTCCTCCATTGCACCTGGTGGTGGATAAATGTTCTCGCTCATATCGCCATGATCCATCACTGCACCGCAACAGACAAGAATAAAAATAAAACACTACCTATCTTCTTCAACAGTGTAGCTCTTGCCACATTTCAGGCTTCAAACATAAAGATATAAAATTTAAATTTTTTGTGAAGAATCAACAACAAGTGGGACACAATCGTGAAGTGGAATGAAATTTATTGGATGTGTCAAACTTTTTTTAACAAATAAAAAACTGAAAAGTGGGGCGTGCAATATTATTCGGCCCCTTTACTTTCAGTGCAGCAAACTCACTCCAGAAGTTCAGTGAGGATCTATGAATGATCCAATGTTGTCCCAAATGACTGATGATGATAAATAGAATCCACCTGTGTGTAATCAAGTCTCCGTATAAATGCACCTGCTCTGTGATAGTCTCAGGGTTCTGTTCAAAGCGCAGAGAGCATCATGAAGACCAAGGAACACACCAGGCAGGTCCGAGATACTGTTGTGGAGAAGTGTAAAGCTGGATTTGGATACAAAAAGATTTCCCAAGCTTTAAACATCCCAAGGAGCACTGTGCAAGCAATCATATTGAAATGGAAGGAGTATCAGACCACTGCAAATCTACCAAGACCCGGCCGTCCCTCTAAACTTTCATCTCGAACAAGGAGAAGACTGATCAGAGATGCAGCCAAGAGGCCCATGATCACTCTGGATGAACTGCAGAGATCTATAGCTGAGGTGGGAGATTCTGTCTATAGGACAACAATCAGTCATACACTGCACAAATCTGGCCTTTATGGAAGAGTGGCAAGAAGAAAGACATTTCTCAAAGATATCCATAAAAAGTGTTGTTTAAAGTTTGTCACAAGCACCTGGGAGACACACCAAACATGTGGAAGAAGGTGCTCTGGTCACATGAAACCAAAATCCAACTGTTTGGCCACAATGCAAAACAATATGTTTGGCATAAAAGCAACACAGCTCATCACCCTGAACACACCATCCCCACTGTCAAACATGGTGGTGGCAGCATCATGGTTTGGGCCTGCTTTTCGTCAGCAGGTTCAGGGAAGATGGTCAGAATTGATGGGAAGATGGATGGGGCCAAATACAGGACCATTCTGGAAGAAAACCTGTTTGAGTCTGCAAGAGACCTGAGACTGGGACGGAGATTTATCTTCCAACAAGACAATGATCCAAAACATAAAGCCAAATCTACAATGGAATGGTTCACAAATAAACGTATCAGGTGTTGGAATGGCCAAGTCAAAGTCCAGACCTGAATCCAATCGAGAATCTGTGGAAAGAGCTGAAGACTGCTGTTCACAAACGCTCTCCATCCAACCTCACTGAGCTCGAGCTGTTTTGCAGAAAGAATGGGCAGAATTTCAGTGTCTCCATGAGCAAAACTGATAGGGACAAACCCCAAGAGACTTTCAGCTGGAACTGCAGCAAAAGGCGGCGCTACAAAGTATTAACGCAAGGGGGCCGAATAATATTGCACGCCCCACTTTTCAGTTTTTTATTTGTTACAAATGTTTGACACATCCAATAAATTTCATTCCACTTCATGATTGTGTCCCACTTGTTGTTGATTCTTCACAAAAAATTAAAATTTTATATCTTTATGTTTGAAGCCTGAAATGTGGCAAAGGTTGACAAGTTCAAGGGGGCCGAATACTTTCGCAAGGCACTGTGTATTCACCACCAAGTCTTGATCAGTCATCAAATTCTCTTATTCCTCTTTATGTCTTCTCAAAACTTGTTCTGTCTGGATTCCTGCATTTGAGTTTATCGATGCTTCAGGTTTTAATTCTGAATCCTGTTCTCCTACATTTGGGGGCTAAAGTGCACTATTTAACAACAAGCAGTACACTGATGACCCGCTTTGCTGAGGGGTGTGAACCGTGACGTTTTTGAGCTGAGTGTTTTTCTGGACTGGAATTGAACAGGGAATTCAAGTAAACCTAGATGTTTTTCGTGCAAGATATTAATGTGTGTAGGAGTTACACCATGTAGAAGAACAGAAGTAGATTTTTTTTTGTCCGAAGTGAGTGACGGATCCTGGCAAGTGAAAAGAGCAACTTTATCAAACACCTGGGGCAGTGGTGGATCCAGGGGGTGGCCAGTGGTGGCCTTGGCCACTATAGATTAATCTTCAGCCACCTCAATAAGTGAGGAAACTATAATTTTAAGCAATATGAAAAATAGAAAGCATTGTTTCCTCAAATGATTGGGGTGGCTGGTTTACACATATGCACACACACACAAAAATGTGCGCGCACACACACATACATGTGTGTGTTTCCATCACAGATTTTGACATGGCAGCCTAATTTTTGATAATGACCTTTTTTACACATGGACACAGCAGCACAGCAAAAAGGAAGTTGGCCTACTGCCAATTTTTCAAGTTGACCTCACAAGATTTACATATGGTGGCAGCCATCTTGGATTTAGCCCTGGCAACCCAATTCTTGAAAAAAATTAAGTAAACTTTTCGTATGTCTAGATGCAGCCACACACTAAAATGTTTCTACTTTTTTTGTTTTGTTTTGTTTTTTGAATGTCCAGAGGACCAGACTTAACTTTTTTACACTAATCAAAGACAAACTGAAACTTAAAAGGTGTTCCTGTTGCTCAAAATATAAAAATGATGCTGCATGAAAACACAGATTTTAAGAGTTTTGGAAAACTGATGTTTTTCTTCTTCAGAGAACTAAAGAAGTTACAGTTTGAAAAATGCAACTAGAGGAGAAGTGAGGGGGAAATAATCAACCAACATATTTTCATCAACAGCTTTATAATCTGTCCATCGTATGATAATTTGTCCATGATACTGTATCCGGTTTGTTCTTTTCAGCCCAAATATAAATTTAGAAGCAGAATGAGTGTTGACGTCTTCATGTTTCAAACCTGCAACAACAAGCTTTGACCATAATTGGAAAAACAAAGTGGAAAGCAGTTAAGTAGATTAGAGTTGGGCCACATTTTGTCTGCCTGGGCTCCGCTCGCTGTCACCAGAAAGAAGATTTGAGGGGGAAGAGACACAATTAGCTCAAAAGATTAAAAGAGCAGTGAAGAGACACTTATTGTGAGCATCTTTAACCATATGGTGGCTACTCTCTTCATCCTTGGTCAAAACACTGATGACCTTTGTGAGATTTAACAGTTAATTAGTCTTTGGAGGTCAGCAGTCTGGAGGATTCA